TCCCTCCTCCCCTCTCTATCTGTATCTATATCTGTATCTATTTCAGCGTGCCCCATGTCTTATCTCCCCCACCACAAATCACTCAAGAGCACTGTATATTTCTCTCTTGATTTCCCAGATGGCTGTACAACGCACCATCGTTCGAGACGGAGTGAGTAGTGGTCACTGAACACACACTCAAAGTGCAGACCACTAGAAGAAAATAAAAGCTGCGCTGTAATACTACTTGGGGATTTCTACTTCAAAGTCAAAGGGTAAGTTATGTCACTTTAAAACACCACTCAATTTGAATTTTGCGTTTACGTCTCAAAACTTATCTATCATCATTCTTCGTTCTTATAGTTATAGTTATTTCTCCTTCTTGTGTTCTCTTGTGATTCTGATCTTAAGCCCTTACACTTACAGGACTGAGAGAGAGAGAGAGAGAGAGAGAGAGAGAGAGAGAGAGAGAGAGAGAGACAGAGAGAGAGAGAGAGATACACACTGGTATTTGGTACACATGGTCAACCTGTGCAGATGGTCGCTTGAGCAGGTTGGACGTTATTACATCATAGAGTCGAGCAATATTGAGCGTCTGTGACTGTCACAGGTCTCTTTCATTAGCACACGGCTCACGATTGTTAGCGGCTGCTTGGATGGATTCATCGGTTGGTCCTACTTCTTTTCTTTCCATCAGCCGTGTCTGTCTGTCTGTCTGTCTGTCTGTCTGTCTGTCTGTCTGTCTGTCTGTCTGTCTGTCTGTCTGTCTGTCTGTCTGAAGCATTGACAATGAAACGAACCTTCTATGACAGGATATATAATCAAAACCATTTTAGACGAGAAGGGAAATGACCGTATTAGACAGGTGGCGGTCTTACCCAGTGTTATCATTATAATGTAAAAAAAAATATGCTAGGGAGAAAATATTCTGGGAAGTGACCGCTTGTACAGATAATTGTCTTATACAGGTGATTGTATTGTACAGGTGATTGTCTTGTACAGGTGGCAGTTAAAGCAGGTTCGACTGCATATTGACGAAAAGACAAGTTGTGTCGTACGATCAGGTTTTTATCGATCAAGCAAACAGTTACGTAGTTTGGATTCAGTGACTTCACATCACCACAAGTATTTCGGTCAAGGTACACCTCTGTGCTCCGTTGGGAACTGTCTTGACAGAGTACTGGAGATCTCCATTTCCAGAGGGGCCAACTAGAGTGTAGCTATTTTTGTTTTGTTTTTGTAAAGTGTTTTACGGCACTCGCAACAGCATAAAGTCATATGAGCGCGCAGGATACACCTAATATTTTCAGTTGGTAGGACATTTTGAATTTTGCCCAGGTGGCGGCCGAAGCCTACTCTTATCGATTTTAGACCACCAAGGGATCTTTAACGTGCGCAACTTGCACACCTGCCCTCTGAGATTTTTCGCCCTTGTCCGAGAAGGCTAGAGTTGTAGATCTTTCCTACCAGAATATCAGGGGTGTGGCAGAAAGACAGCATTAAGGAGGAGCCAAGGAGTAGCAGTAGAAAGGCTGCAGAAATAGTTAGGAGCCCAGAGGAGGGGGCAAAGGAGGTGAGAGGGTGGGGGCAGAAAGTGGAAATGAAAGCAGACAACAGAACTTTGCTAGAGAGCAGGAAAGGGGGTGAAAGGAGACAATATTAGAGAAGAACATTTTTCGGTCGCTACCCAGATTTGAACCCGGGACCTTTGAATGAGAGGCCAACACCTTAACCTCTAGGCCACGAGAGCCCCAGAGTGTAACTATGATATTACATTGACGAACACGTTTTAAAAAAACCAAACTGATTGCAAGAAAAGGGGATTACAGTAGACCATAATTATTTAATTTTGTTTGTTTGTTTTTTTGTTTGTTTGTTTTTCTGCTTATTTATTTGTTTAGTTTAGTTGTTTTGTTTTTTTATTGTTGTTTTTTTTTTTCAGGGTTTTTTTTCATGTATATATTTATATTATTACCGGTGTCAGTGGTGTAGAGGTTAGACGCTTCACCGCGGCACCCAGAATGCCTGAGTTCGATTTCGGTGTGTAAATACTTATATTTACTAAGTATATCGGTTTTTATGGTGTATGATGTTGTATCCTACTCATCCTGGGTAGACCCTTAGATGCAAGGTTGGAATTCCCGCCTCCTAAATATCATTTTAGTTGTTGAAGACCTGAGTCAATGGAAGCTTAGAATCTTACAGCAAAGACCGATTGTGAGGCCAGCCGCTGGCTGACGAAACGACTCACTACTGGGATTTTAACCTCACGGAAATACATTGAATTTACGGATTGAGTTTACGGGCTATCGGCCCATGAAATAATGCAAGACATAGTAAACTTGAAGAAAATGGCAAAAGTTGAAAATCTACAAGTGTTATCTTTGTGTTCGAATTCCGGTCGGTATATCTGTTTGTAGATTGAGAGAAGTAGCTTATTAAAATTGATTTGTCAGAAGAAATATTAATTATTGTTACAATAATTATTTGTATCACGACGCGCTGGAATCAGACGCTAGTCAATTTTTCTGTACAATTATGGTGTTTTTGCTACAGTCTTAATGCCTGTTCATTTGTGTTGCTTTAAATGGGGAAATACACATATTATTATATTATTCTTATGAAAGTCGAGATATTTGCCTCTGAAAGAGGTTCGTCTGGTGTCAGATGTAAAAACAGCGAGAAAAAGGCCACCAAAGTTCAATGACTTGAGAAGATCGAGTGTCCTTGGAAGCTGCGAATTTCATTTTGAAAACACGTTTTAATCAACTCTTTTCAGTAAAATCCACAAAGAAATGCGCTTTTAAAGGGACATAAGAGGCGTTGAGCCGTGAAATAGAAATTTCCATTAAAAATTGGCCAATAAGCGGGAAAATGCAGTTTTCTACGATTTTATTATTTTGATAAGCGCCTGATTTCACAACGATGACTAGCATTTTTCTTTTCTCCCACTGAGCTCTTCAGTTGTTGTCGATGGCGAACTTGGAGAGGGAGAGGGAGAGGGAGTGTGAGTGGGAGTGGGAGTGTGAGTGGGAGTTGGAGTGGCGTTTTGCTCTGCACTATACGCCACGGGAACTCCCCTTTCTCATGCAAGTTGCACACGCACATGCGTGCTACTGCGACCTTTTGCATGTACTTTCGTTAGGGCGCTCACGCTAACTAGCGCTGGAATTGTCTACCCCCCCCCCCCCCCACACACACCTCTCTGCCTCTCTCTCTCTCTCTCTCTCTCTCTCTCTCTGCTCTCTCTGTCTGTCTCTCTCTGTCACTCTCTCTCTTTCTTTCTCAAACCCTCTCTCTGTGTGTCTCTCTCTCTCTCTCTCTCTCTCTCTCTCTCTCTCTCTCTCTCTCTCTCTCTCTCTCTCTCTCTCTCTCTCTCCACCCTTGGATCCTCCTCCGCACCTCCTACTTGACATAATGTCACCCTCCGTGTTTGCGTCACTCACGCACGCACGCACGCACGCACGCATAATATGCACGTACGTAGACTTGGCCTTTTTTGAGTTTTCTAGGGATAAGGGCAGTCTTAGTTTTCGTTTTACAGGGCGTTTTACGCCAATTACAACACAGGTTAACACATGATCACTTTGTGTTGCAAGTGCCGTTAAAAGTTTACTAAAACGAACTAAGAAAGATAGATGATTGAAAGCAAAGAAGGAGTAATCCACATCAGAGCTCCTGCCAACCACCCACAAGGTAGGTTTTCTTGACACAGGCTCTGCAAAAGTTTTGTTGTTGTTGTTGTTGTTGTTGCTGCTGCTGTTAAGTGAATAAAGTAATCTATGAATGCTTTAGTAAAAGAGCAAACGAATGATTGAATGAAAGAAAGTAGAAATGTATGTGTGTGCCCTTTTGATCCTAGTGTCCTGCCTTGACGTATCTACAGACATTTTTTAAAATAACAACATGAGGCAACACTTATACACGGGTGACGTAGCAAAGTATGAGATAGGAAGATAAGATTAGATTAGATTAGATTAGATTAGATTAGATTAGATTAGATTAGATTAGATTAGATTAGATTAGATTAGACTAGATTAGATTGGATTGGATTGGATTAGATTAGATTAGATTAGATTAGATTAGATTAGATTAGATTAGATTAGATTAGATAAAATAAGATTAGATTAGATTAGATCTCTAAAAATTCTACTTAAAGTGCATCATCACGTTCTACAGCAAACACTACAATCTGATTATGAAACTGATAAGGCCAGGTTATCAATAATTCATGTTTTTGTGTGCTTATTTTTAATAAATATTTTAATTTTTTGGGGGGGTTCAATTCAGTTGTAACTGTTTTCGTGAGTAGCTTGATGTGTAGGTAGAAACAGGAATATTCTAAAGTGTGTCATAGAATAGCCCTCCACAAACTTACTAATTTTCCTAAATGATCAGAACTAAGATTAAAACTAAGGAGAAAACTCATGTCCGAAAAAGTCAAAGTGAAAAAGCATCTTGCAGATGATTTGACTTCAGTTTTTCTTGTTTTTTGTGTTTTGTTTTGTTTTTGTTTTTCTTTTAGGGTGGGGATGGGGTGGGGAACAAATTATGAATCTTTTAAACTGCTGAATCGTCTTTTCAAATTCAAACAATGAAAAAGGGACACACAACATCAATTCCTTGCAACTGGAAATTAATGGCGTGCAAGTACCAAAAAACAAAACAAACAAACCCACAAACAAAAACACAAACAAGCAAAAAACCCAACAAACTCCCCAAAAAGGATATCAACTTGCCTGTTTCTTTATGTGAAGCAAGAAGAATAAATGCTTATGCAAATTGTTTTTGCACCTTCTGGAGTCTTGTTTTCTTGGCAAATAAAAAACAACAACCATGTATTAGTATTAAGAACAGGTGAACTAAATATGATTGATAATAATAATAATAATAATAATAATAATAATAATAATAATAATAATAATAACAATAATAATAATAATAATAATAACAATAATAATAATAATAATAATAATAACAATAATAATAATAATAATAACAATAATAACAATAATAACAAT